CTCATCAGACCACATGACCTTCTCCCATTCCTCCTCTGGATCATCCAGATGGTCATTGGCAAACTTCAGACGGGCCTGGACATGCGCTGGCTTGAGCAGGGGGACCTTGCGTGCGCAGCAGGATTTTATCCATGACGGCGTAGTGTGTTACTAATGGTTTTCTTTGAGACTGTGGTCCCAACTCTCTTCAGGTCATTGACCAGGTCCTGCCGTGTAGTTCTGGGCTGATCCCTCACCTTCCTCATGATCATTGATGCCCCACGAGGTGAGATCTTGCATGGAGCCCCAAACCGAGGGTGATTGACTGTCATCTTGAACTTCTTCCATTTTCTAATAATTGCGCCAACAGTTGTTGCCTTCTCACCAAGCTGCTTGCCTATTGTCCTGTAGCCCATCCCAGCCTTGTGCAGGTCTACAATTTTATCCCTGATGTCCTTACACATCTCTCTGGTCTTGGCCATTGTGGAGAGGTTGGAGTCTGTTTGATTAAGTGTGTGGACAGATTTCTTTTATACAGGTAACGAGTTCAAACAGGTGCAGTTAATACAGGTAATGAGTGGAGAACAGGAGGGCTTCTTAAAGAAAAACTAACAGGTCTGTGAGAGCTGGAATTCTTACTGGTTGGTAGGTGATCAAATACTTAGGTCATTCAATAAAATGCAAATGAATTACTTAAAAATCATACAATGTGATTTTCTTGATTTTTGTTTTAGATTCCATCTCTCACAGTTGAAGTGTACCTATGATAAAAATTACAGACCTCTACATGCTTTGTAAGTAGGAAAATCTGCAAACTCGGCAGTGTATCAAATACTTGTTCTCCCACCTGTAAATCCACTAGCGTTCTATAATTACACTATTAGTTTGTGTTTCTTACATCTGCAAACAGCTAGTATGTCTTAGCACGTTGGGCCTAAATCTTGTTAGCCAGCTAGCTAGCTAATAAATGTACTGAGTCAGAGCAAACGTAGCTAGTTATACAGCCTGGTGTAGGCCTAAATCAGCATGTTGTTTGTGCAACAGTATCTTCTAAATCAAAGAGGACTAGGCGAAGCATGAATATGTTGGCTACATGAAGAAACATTTAATGTAGCCAAAGATCATAGGATCCCCTAGGAAACACAGACCATCTATTTGATTCCTACCCTGTCACAATAACTCCTCCCTGGCATTTTCATTAGTTGTCATGTCAAACAACACTGTATTCAAAGTGCCTACTATTATTTATATTTTAACTATAGAATTAGAATAATCATTCTATTTCCATGATTCCAACAGTTCACCCAAGTGTTTTGATCTAAATCGCAAGTCAATTCGCAATTGCAACATTTGGTTAAAAATAAGGGATAGTTTTTTTGGCCCATATTGTGCAGCCCTACGTGGCAGTGAGGAAATGTTCTCAAATGAGTGCAGGAAATGCAGAAATGGATGGAAATGCAGGAAATTATTTTTGGTTGAATTGAACAGTTTAAAACAATCAGAATAGCGAAAGACCCATCTAAATCACTTACAATGTATGTGTTGCTACCATAGGGTCACGCACTACTCATAAAGCAAATGTATAACTTTTAATATTCAAAAACATAAAATATTAGAAAAATACAGTGATATTATATTTTGGCCATATCGCCCAGCCCTACCAACCGGCAGCTTAAGGCAAATATGCTGAAGGAGGCCGTTTGTTTAAGACAGAGAGCTCAAATTTAAATAGAATCCTATTCAAAGAAATACTTTTCTGATTAAAATACAGATCAAGACACTTGTTTTTATTTCTTGTGATCATATTCTTAATATATACAGTGGGGGAAAAAAGTATTTAGTCAGCCACCAATTGTGCAAGTTCTCCCACTTAAAAAGATGAGAGGCCTGTAATTTTCATCATAGGTACACGTCAACTATGACAGACAAAATGAGAAAAACATTTCCAGAAAATCACATTGTAAGATTTTTAATGAATTTATTTGCAAATTATGTTGGAAATAAGTATTTGGTCAATAACAAAAGTTTCTCAATACTTTGTTATATACCCTTTGTTGGCAATGACACAGGTCAAATGTTTTCTGTAAGTCTTCACAAGGTTTTCACACACTGTTGCTGGTATTTTGGCCCATTCCTCCATGCAGATCTCCTCTAGAGCAGTGATGTTTTGGGGCTGTCGCTGGGCAACACGGACTTTCAACTCCCTCCAAAGATTTTCTATGGGTTTGAGATCTGGAGACTGGCTAGGCCACTCCAGGACCTTGAAATGCTTCTTACGAAGCCACTCCTTTGTTGCCTGGGCGGTGTGTTTGGGATCATTGTCATGCTGAAAGACCCAGCCACATTTCATCTTCAATGCCCTTGCTGATGGAAGGAGGTTTTCACTCAAAATCTCACGATACATGGCCCCATTCATTCTTTCCTTTACACGGAACAGTCGTCCTGGTCCCTTTGCAGAAAAACAGCCCCAAAGCATGATGTTTCCACCCCCATGCTTCACAGTAGGTATAGTGTTCTTTGGATGCAACTCAGCATTCTTTGTCCTCCAAACACGACGAGTTGAGTTTTTACCAAAAAGTTCTATTTTGGTTTCATCTGACCATATCACATTCTCCCAATCCTCTTCTGGATCATCCAAATGCACTCTAGCAAACTTCAGACGGGCCTGGACATGTACTGGCTTAAGCAGGGGGACACGTCTGGCACTGCAGGATTTGAGTCCCTGGCGGCGTAGTGTGTTACTGATGGTAGGCTTTGTTACTTTGGTCCCAGCTCTCTGCAGGTCATTCACTAGGTCCCCCCGTGTGGTTCTGGGATTTTTGCTCACCGTTCTTGTGATCATTTTGACCCCACGGGGTGAGATCTTGCGTGGAGCCCCAGATCGAGGGAGATTATCAGTGGTCTTGTATGTCTTCCATTTCCTAATAATTGCTCCCACAGTTGATTTCTTCAAACCAAGCTGCTTACCTATTGCAGATTCAGTCTTCCCAGCCTGGTGCAGGTCTACAATTTTGTTTCTGGTGTCCTTTGACAGCTCTTTGGTCTTGGCCATAGTGGAGTTTGGAGCGTGACTGTTTGAGGTTGTGGACAGGTGTCTTTTATACTGATAACAAGTTCAAACAGGTGCCATTAATACAGGTAACGAGTGGAGGACAGAGGAGCCTCTTAAAGAAGAAGTTACAGGTCTGTGAGAGCCAGAAATCTTGCTTGTTTGTAGGTGACCAAATACTTATTTTCCACCATAATTTGCAAATAAATTCATAAAAAATCCTACAATGTGATTTTCTGTATATTTTTTTCTCAATTTGTCTGTCATAGTTGACGTGTACCTATGATGAAAATTACAGGCCTCTCTCATCTTTTTAAGTGGGAGAACTTGCACAATTAGTGGCTGACTAAATACTTTTCCCCCCCACTGTATACTGTGCATTCGGAAAGTATTCAGACCCCTTGACCTTTTCCACATTGTTACATTACAGTCATATTCTAAAATTGATTAAATCGTTTTTTCCCCCTCATCAATCTACACACAATACCCCATAATCACAAAGCAAAAACAGGTTTTTAGACATTATCGCACATTTATTAAAAATTACAAACTAAAATATACATTTACATAAGTATTCAGACCTCTTTACTCAGTACTTTGTTGAATCACCTTTGGCAGCGATTACAGCCTTGAGTCTTCTTGGGTATGACGCTACAAGCTTGGCACACCTGTATTTGGGGAGTTTCTCCCATTCCTCTCCGCAGATCCTCTCAAGCTCTGTCAGGTTGGATGGGGAGCGTTGCTGCACAGCTATGTTCGATCGGGTTCAAGTTCGGACTCTGGCTGGACAACTCAAGGACATTCAGAGACTTGAGCCGAAACCACTCCTGTGTTGTCTTGGCTGTGTGCTTAGGGTCGTTGTCCTGTTGGAAGGTGAACCATTGCCCCAGTCTGAGGTCCTGAGTGCTCTGGAGTAGGTTTTCATCAAGGATCTCTCTGTACTTTGCTCCGTTCATCTTTGCCTCGATCCTGACTAATCTCCCAGTCCATGCCACTGAAAAACATCCCCACAGCATGATGCTGCCACCACCATGCTTCACCGTAGGGATGATGCCAGGTTTCCTCCAGAGTTCAATCTTGGTTTCATCAGAACAGAGACTCTTCTTTCTCATGGTCTGAGAGTCTTTAGGTGCCTTTTGGCAAACTTCAAGCGGGCTGTCATGTACCTTTTACTGAGGAGTGGCTTCCGTCTGGCCACTCTACCATAAAGGCCTGATTGGTGGAGTGCTGCAGAGATGGTTGTCCTTCTGGAAGGTTCTCCCATCTCCACAGAGGAACTCTAGAGCTCTGTCAGAGTGACCATTGGGTTCTTGGTCACCTCCCTGACCGAGGCCCTTCTCCCCCGATTGCTCAGTTTGGCCAGGCAGCCAGCTCTAGGAAGAGTCTTGGTGGTTCCAAACTTCTTCCATTTAAGAATGATTAAGGCCACTGTGTTCTTGGGGACCTTCAATGCTGCAGAAATGTTTTGGTACCCTTCCCCAGATCTGTGCCTCGACACAATCCTGTCTCGGAGCTCTACGGACAATTCCTTCGACCTCATGGCTTGGTTTTTGCTCTGACATGCACTGTCAACTGTGGGAACCTTATATACTCCAGTCAAGTTGTAGAAACATCTCAAGGCTGATCAATGGAAACAGGATGGACCTGAGCTGAATTTCGAGTCTCATAGCAAAGGGTCTGAATACTACTACAAAAAAAAGAAAATTCTAAAAGCCTGTTTTCGCTGTGTCATTATGGGGTATTTGTGTGTAGATTGCTGAGGATTTTTTTGTAAAAAAAAAAAAAATCTATTTTAGAATAAGGCTGTAATATAACAAAATGTGGAAAAAGTCAAAGGGTCTGAATACTTCCCGAAGGCACTGTATATATACTTTGAAGTGAATCCGTGGTCCCCGCACTCTCCAGATAGAAGTGGAGGTGCCTCTCCTCTAGCCTCCTCCCCAGTGGTTTACGGTAGGCGTTGTGTTGTGTGTCAGTAGTGTAAAGCCGTGCTGGCTGGGTGTCTGAGCCCCACCCTGGGAGTGGGAGCAGAGCTGTGATGGCCTGTGGCTTGACTCAGTGTGTCAGCTCCATTCACCGGACAGGATGCCTTCAGACAACACGGCAGCACAGCCACCGCCCAGCACCTGATCTGGAACGACAGCGAGACACGGCCTGCACCCCCAAGTGGGCCACCTTGCACAGTGAGGTCGTGACCCCTGAGACATGGGGTGCAGCAGGAGGGCCAATCCCCAACAGAGACACACTGGCTGATAATGTCTCTGCTCCACCTGACTTCCATCACTAGTGATAGTTTATAAACATGCGAGCTGTCATAAAAGCTAATCTCTGCATGCTGCCAGTGTCCATGGAGGAAAGCAGCTTGCCCCGCTGCTCGAGGGGGGCTTGTTTAATTAATGAGCTCTACAGTACAGAACTCTATCTGGAAAGGTGGAGATACAGTGCATTTGTAAAGTATCCAGTCCCCTTCCCTTTTCCACATTTTGGTACATTATAGCCTTATTCTAAAATTGATTAAATAAAAAAAGGTCCTCATAAATCTACACACAATAATGACAAAGCGAACAGGTTTTTGGAAATATTGGCAAATGTATTTCAAATTAAAAACAAAAATACCTTATATACATAAGTATTCAGACCCTTTGCTATGAGACTCGAAATTGAGCTCAGGTGCATCCTGTTTCCATTGATTATCCATGAGATGTTTCTACAACTTGATTTGAGTATATAAAGGTCCCACAGTTGACAGCGCATGTCAGAGCAAAAACCAAGCCATGAGGTCGAAGGAATTGTCCGTAGAGCTCCGAGACAGGATTGTGTCGAGGCACAGATCTGGGGAAGGGTACCTAAACATTTCTGAAGCATTGAAGGCCCCCCAAGAACACAGTGGCCTCCATCATTCTTAAATGGGAGAAGTTTGGAAACACCAAGACTCTTCCTAGAGCTGGCCGCCCGGCCAAACTGAGCAATCGGGGGAGAAGGGCCTTGGTCAGGGAGGTGACCAAGAATCCAATGGTCACTCTGACAGAGCACCAGAGTTCCTCTGTGGAGATGGGAGAACCTTCCAGAAGGACAACCATCTCTGCAGCACTCCATCAATCAGGCCTTTATGGTAGAGTGGACCGACAGAAGCCACTCCTCAGTAAAAGGCACATGACAGCCCGCTTGGAGTCTGCCAAAAGACACCTAAAGGACTCTCAGACCATGAGAAACAAGATGCTCTGGTCTGATGAAACCAAGATTGAACTCTTTGGCCTGAATGTCAAGCGTCATGTCTAGAGGAATCCTGGCACCATCCCTACGGTGAAGCATGGTGGTGGCAGCATCATGCTTTGTGGATGTTTTTCAGCGGCAGGGACTGGGAGACTAGTCAGGATCGAGGAAAAGATGAACAGAGCAAGGTAGAGAGAGATCCTTGATGAAAACCTGCTCCAGAGCACTCAGGACCACAGACTGGGGCTAAGGTTCACCTTCCAACAGGACAACGACCCAAAGCACACAGCCAAGACAACACAGGAGTGGCTTCGGGACAAGTCTCTGAATGTCCTTGAGTGGCCCTGCCAGAGCCCGGACTTGAACCCGATCGAACATCTCTGGAGAGACCTGAAAATAGCTGTGCAGCGATGCTCCCCATCCAACCTGACAGAGCGTGAGAGGATCTGCAGAGAAGAATGGGAGAAACTCCCTAAGTACATTTTTTTTGTTTTATATATACATTTGCAAAAATGTCTAAAAACATGTTTTTGCTCTGTCCTTATGGAGTATTTTGTGTAGTTTGATGAGGGGTAAAAACACATTTTAATCAATTTTAGGACAAGGCTGTAACGTAACAAAATGTGGACAAGGTCATGGGGTCTGAATACTTTCAGAATGCACTGTATCTAAGCCTAACCATTGCCCAGTGACTCCAGGCAGACTCTTGCCATTTTAGAAAGGTGCATGTGCAGTGAAGCCTCCTCATGTTACTCAGGATGACACTAAGAGATGCTCCATCACAAGGAGGGAAGTTGACTTTCTGGGGTGATAAAAGTTCAAACACACCATGACCGTTAACACTACCATTTGAGATGTTCTCAGTAGAGGAACCCAGAAGTGCCAGTCTGACCATAAGCCACATGCCAACCATTGACAGAAATACATAAAGGTTGAGGCAGTAAGCCCCATCAGCCGGGAAGCTAAAATGCCAAAGCTAGGGCCACCAGGCCCATGTTGTTCCTCTACTGGAGTCTGAGGCTGGATCAGAGCAGGTGAGGTGCCACTGGGTGAAGGAGGGTTACGGTGTTAGTAGTAGGCTATGAGGTGTCTGGGTTATACTTATGAACACTGTGCCCAGAGGCCGGGGGAGATAAACATAACCTCGCTTGTGTGTTGGAGCTCTATGGACATGCCCCTCCTACACAGTCATCACCCCTTCCTTCTTTTCCTCTCACTCCCTCTCTCATCCACCCCTCCCTCTCTTTCTCTCTGTCCAGCATCACTTTGTATTAGTCACACTTTGGGAAACTTGGGCTCATCTCCATAAGGCAGGATTTGTTTTCAATTCTATGAAGTGAACAAGCACAGGGCTGACTCCTACAGAGAGACAGGGGATTAGTCGCACCCAAGTCTCTGACAACCACCCAATCAATACTTCCAACCATCTTTACAATATCCCCCCCAAAATATCACAGCGAACTAGACCCCAGTGATGTGGGAGGGAGGGGTTGAGAAGGAGCAGGGTCTGCAGAATTTCACTGTATGACCTTGTAATGAAGGATGCTTTACTGTCATCACAGCCTGCTGTTTGGCCACGGTTGGATGGCCCACTCTCTGCTCCATCTTATGGCTAATGTGGGACTGAAACGATTAGGAAGCGTGACTGTCAAACATGTGAGGCTTTAGTCACCCACAGAAAACCCACACATCTATCTTGTAGGATACCAGTCACTCTCTCAAACAGAGCACTGCCATCTGGTATAGTCAGTGGCTCTAAAACATAAGTACAGTCAAATGGGAAAAGAGCCTCCCTCCAAGCCCTGGATCTAATAGGACTAAACTACCCACTGACATTGGTAACTTGATTTGGAGCCACATACGTACCGGAAATATACATGTAACCGCCGTACACAGTCCCTGCGTGGCCGTAGTGTGGCTCGTTCATTTTGGCGACGTATGTCCACTCGTTTGTCCTCGGGTTGTAGCACTCCACTGTGGCTGCATATGGGAGAAAGAGACAGGAGAAAAAAACGGAGTATTAGAGGGGAAAGTAGGTCAAGAGAGAACTAAGGAGAACAAACAGCTGCAAATGAGGCCTTGGAGGGTCTCAGTGTGGGAGCTGCTGAACTAGGGACTTAAACAGAGAGCAGAGATGCCCCCCACCAACCACCACTCCACTCCCAAGCCCCTTCAGGGTTCACTGTATTGATTATAGTCTACACACAGACTAGAGAGGTTGTGGGGCATATTCACTCTCCATTCCATTATTAGGGCCTACACTGTACCAATCTTTTTGTATTTATTATGGATCCCCATTAAATGCTGCCAAGGCAGCAGCTACTCTTCCATTGGTCCAGCAAAAACTAAAGCAGTAATATACATTATAAAACAAATTTTAAACATTAAAATACATTTACAACAGATTTCCAAATACATTAAGTGTGTGCCTCCGGCCACTACAACACACAATCCAGGTGTAAGTGTGTATAGTGTGTATGTTATGTGTGTGTGTATGTTATGTGTGTTTGTAGCTGTGTGCGTGACTCTTCACAGTCCTCGCTGTTCCATAAGGTGTATTTTTACACTACATGGCCATAAGTATGTGGACACCCCTACAAATGAGTGGATTAGACTATTTCCGTTGCTGACAGGTATATAACATTGAGCACACAGCCATGCAATCTCCGTAGAGAAACACTGGAAGTAGAATGGCCCGTACTGAAGAGCTCAGTGACTTAGTGACATAGGATGCCACCTTTCCAACAAGTCAGTTCATCAAATTTCTGCCCTACTAGAGCTGCCCTGGTTAACTGTAAGTGCCGTTATTGTGAAGTGGAAACATCTAGGAGCAACAACGACAGCCACGAAGTGGTAGGCCACACAAGCTCATAGATCGGGACCGCCGAGTGCTGAAGCCTGTAGCGCGTAAACATCGTCTGTCCTCAGTTGCAACACTCACTACAGAGTTCCAAACTGCCTCTGGAAGCAACGTCAGCACACAAACTGTTCGTCGGGAGCTTCATGAAATGGGTTTCCATGGCTAAGCAGCTGCACACAAGCCTCAGATCACCATGCGCAATGCCAAGCGTCTGCTGGAGTGGTGTAAAGCTCGCCGCCATTGGACTCTGGCGCAGTGGAAACGCGTTCTCTGGAGTGATGAATCACGCTTCACCACTGGCAGTCCGACGGACGAATCTGGGTTTGGCGGATGCCAGGAGAACACTACCTGCCCGAATGCATAGTGCCAACTGTAAAGTTTAGTGGAGGAGTTCCAGTGAAGGGAAATATTAACGCTACAGCATACAATGACATTCTAGACGATTCTGTGCTACCAACTTTGTGGCAACAGCTTTGGGAAAGCCCTTTCCTGTTTCAGCATGACAACGCCCCCGTGCACAAAGCGAGGTCCATACAGAAATGGTTTGTTGAGATCGGTGTGGAAGAACTTGACTGGCCTGCACAGAGCCCTGACCTCAACCCCATCAAACACCTTTGGGATGAATTGGAACATCGACTGCGAGCCAGGCCTAATCGCCCAACATCAGTGCCCGACCTCACTAATGCTCGTGGCTGAATGGAAGCAACTACCCGCAGCAATGTTCCAATATCATTTGGAAAGCCTTCCCAGAAGAGTGGAGGCTGTTATAGCAGCAAAGGTCGCTACTTGGTGGGGAATAGAGTTCCATGTCGCCATGGCTCTACATAGTACTGTGTGCCTCCCATAGTCTGTTCTGGACTTGGGGACTGTGAAGAGACCTCTGGTGGCATGTCTTGTGGTGTATGCATGGGTGTCCGAGCTGTGTGCTAGTAGTTTAAACAGACAGCTCGGGCATTCAACATGTCAATACTTCTTACAAAAACAAATAGTGCTGAAGTCAATCTCTCCTCTACTTTGATCCATGAGAGATTGGCATGCATATTATTAATGTTAGGTATACATATACATATACATTTAAGGGCGTTCTGGGCCAATTATAATTTTCCCAAGTCCATCTATGTGGCACTTGACCACACGACTGGGCAGTAGTCCAGGTGCGACAAAACTAGGGCCTGTAGGACCTGCCTTGTTGATATTGTTGTTAAGGCAGAGTGGCGCTTTATTATGGACAGACCTCGCCCCATCTTAGCAACTGTTGCATCAATATGTTTTAGCATAACGGTTTACAATCCAGGGTTACTCCAAGCAGTTTAGTCTCCTCAACTTAATCATTTTCCACATTATTCATTACAAGATGAAGTTGAGGTTTAGGGATTTGTGAATGATTTGTCCCAAATACAATGATTTTAGTTTGAGATATTTAGGACTAACATTTCTTGCCACCCATTCTGAAACTGACTGCAGCTCTTTGTTAAGTGTTACAGTGATTTCACTCACTGTAGTAGCTGACGTGTATAGGGTTGCGTCATCTGCATACATAGACACAGGCTTTACTCAGAGCAAGGTAATTAGTAAAGATAGAAAAAAGTAAATGAGCCTAGACAGCTTCCCTGGGGAATGCCTGATTCTACCTGGATTATATTGGAGAGGCTACCATTAAAGAACATCCTCTGAGTTCTGGTAACTCTCAATCCACAATATAGCAGGGGGTGTAAAGCCCTAACATATACGTTTTTCCAGCAGCATACTATAATCGATAATGTCAAACGCAGCACTGAAGTCTAACAAAACAGCTCCCACAATCTTTTTATTATCAATTTCTCTCAGCCAATCATCAGTCATTTGTGTAAGTGTCGTGCATGTTGAATGCCCTTCCCTATAAGTGTGCTGAAAGTTGGTTAATTTATTTACTGTAAAATAGCATTTTATCTGGTCAAACATAATTTGTTTGTGGGTTGGTAACAGGCTGATTGGTCGGCTCATTGAGCCAGTAAAGGGTGCTTTACTATTCTACTATGACTTTTGCTTCCCTCCAGGCTTAAGGGCACACTTTTTTGTAAGCTTCGATTGAGGAGATGGCAAATAGGAGTGGCAATATCATCCGCTATCATCCTCAGTCATTTCCCATCCAAGTTGTCAGACCTAGGTAGCTTGTCATTTTTGATAGACAACAATTTTTTCAGCTCTTCCACACTCACTTTACGGAATTCAAAATTACAATGCATCTTTCATAATTTGGTCAGTTATACTTGGATGTGTAGGTTCGGCGTTTCTTGCTGGCATGTCATGACTAAGTTTGCTAATCTTGCCAATTTACAAAATCATTAGTTGGCAATATCAGTGGGTTTTGTGATGAATGAGCCATCTGATTCAATGAATGATGGAGCTGAGTTTGTTGTAATTTAAGGTGCAACAAACCTTTTACTATCATTCATCTTTGTTTCATAGTATAGTTTCTTCTTCTTTTTGGTCACATGATTTCTCAAATTTCAGTAGGTTTGCCAATAGGTTATTCAGCCAGACTTATTTGTCATACCTTTTGCCTCATCCCTCTCAACCATAACATTTTTCAATTCCTCATCAATCTATGGGGATTTAACAGTTTTTACAGTCATTTTCTTAATGGTTGCATGCTTATTAGTAACTGGAGTAAGCAATTTCATAAATGTGTCAAGTGCAGTGTCTGGTTGATCCTCATTACACACCACAGACCAGCAAATATTCTTTACAACACCAATATAGGATTAACTACAAAACCTCTTGTAGAACCTCATACACAATATTAGGTCCAGCCTTTGGAACTTTGGTTTTCCTAGATATGGCTACCATATTGTGATCACTACATCCGATAGATTTGGATACGGCTTTACAACAGATTTCTGCAGCATTAGTAATGATGTGCTCAGTACACGTGGATTATTTAATTCCTGTGCTGTTTGTAAATACCCTGGTAGGTTGACTGATAACCTGAACCTGGTTGCAGGAACTGGTTACAGTTTGAAGCTTTTTCTTGAGTGTGCAGCTTGATGAAAGCCAGTCAATATTTAGGTCACCCAGAAAATATACCTCTCTGTTGATTTCACATACATTATCAAGCATTTCACACATATTATCCAGATACTGACTGCTAGCACTCAGTGGTCTATAGCAGCTTCCTAACAAGAATGGGCTTTAGGTGTGGCAGATGAACCTGTAGCCATATTACTTGAACAGTATTTGAAGTACATGAGATCCTCTCTAAGCTTTACTGGAATGTGGCTCTGAATATAGAGCGCAACACTACCCCCATTGGCATTTCTGTCTTTTCTGTAGATGTTATAACCATGTATTGCTACCACTATATCATCAAAGGTAGTATCTAAATGAGTTTCAGAAATCAGTCAGTATATGAATCTCATCTGTTACTAGCAAGTTATTTAGCACTTTACTGAGCGGCTTATCAGAAGTAGACATGACAGTGATATTTATGTTTGCGCTGATAGTGCAGGGTGAGCTGCACACAGCAAACTTCCTACTAGGGAACACCGCCTCAGCACTTGAAGCTGGGGGCAAAAGGCACTTATAATTATTCAGTGGTGTAGGCTAGCCTGGGGGCCAGACTGGGATGTTCTCTTTACACCACACGGTGTGGGCCCTCTCAATTCTGCAGTGATTTGTTAGGTCAGAAAAAGATTTGTCCAATCAAGTTTCCAGACAGAGTGCAAAGCTGATTTCTCAAGCTTGCAGGCACACAGAGGAGTCTCCATATGTCAGTTAGAAGTAGAATATCATCATGTAGCCTAAAAGAGAAACTGGGTTGTAGGGTGATGAGGTCTTAGACACCACCTGGCTGTCCAGGTGAGGATGTCAAACACTCAATCCTCCTATTTCTTGGTTACATGATGCAATAACCCTGACCTCGCAGTATTGATCAGTTGACCCAGTTAGTGAGTGTGTGTGTCCCTGCCTGTGGAATACGCCCCATTGTCCATGAGGGCCCCAGCTCTAAGACAAACACAAGTCTCCATAGATGATCTCCTAAAGCTCGGATTATATCATAGTCAAAAGGGTCTTCCTGGACCCTCCACTCTCTTTACTGACCTGTGCTTTGTGTGTTGAATGTGAGCGTAAACAGATCCCAAGAGTCAAATCAGCACCATTTTTGGCACAAATAGGCTTGTCCCTGGCTGAGACTCAATATGGGCTTACTTTGGGTCTAATCCAGGCCCAAATAGAAAGAGCTCTGGCTACAGCTCTGACACAGAAGTCCCAGTGGACCAAATGGATGGTCTCCAATTCAAAGCATCAACAACGTATGGCCATAGCGTTCACACTCACATTAGACCTACATCACGTTTTCATCGTTCTCGCGCCACAGATATTTGCTGTGAGAACTTGTCAAAGGGGAGGCAAACTAGGCCTTAAGTCCAAATCATTCTAAGAATAAATACATTTTTAAGGAATTTTACTGGGAGACTAAAACGGCAGCAGCAGGCATTAGTGATTCATTAGAACAATAGTCATTAGTCTTCTGTTCTATTTCTGTTCTTTCTCTATCCCCACTAAACAATAACTGACGATTTGCTAGAATGCATTCTGAAAAATATCCAAACCTAATAAATTAAGTAATAGCTCTATCTCGCTACCAAGTACATTTGCACTCGTCTCCAGAGTGCTTGGTGCTTTAAGATATAAATGCAAATGAGTGCTCAAGAGCTTTAGTTACATGCTGCTATATTTACAAGAGCTTCCTACATTATTTAAACATCAGAGATAGCAGTGCTGTCATTGTTCCTCCCATGTTTGTACTCTGGCTGTCCTAGTAGATTGGATTAATATGACAGGCTTTCACATGGACAGTTATGGAGAGTGGCCATAGAGGTATAAACAGGATGGATGGCCTTTAAACCTGTAAATATAACCACTTCCTCCATCATAACTAAGGTTAACAAATCTGTTTGTGTTTGTGTGTGTCACTGCCCTGACCGAGGGCAGCCTTTCATGTTCTTTAAATCTTTTAAAATAAGCTGACAAAACCTCAGTCGCAAATCAATGTTTCAAAACCCTCCCTCCTCCGCATGGTTACATCAAAAGGATTTATGTACAAAAGGCTGAACTCTGTGCTGCGTCTGAAACAAGTGATAGAATGTCTGAGTGCCAGACTGGCTTCCCAAGGATAACAGGCAGTGACAAGCACAGGAAACTGGTGCTGCTTTTCAACTGCAACACCAGTGTTACACTAGTACACACCCCTGATGTTATACTAGGGAAATTGTTTTTTCATAACTAGACATTGAGGACTTGTGAAGAGCAGAATCAACAACCTCTGCATAATCAAAACAGTGGATTTGTGAGGTGTTAACCATCGCAGACGTAAACCCATGTTCACAGTTAGCCATTGTTATGTAAATGCCATCCAAAAAGTAGAGCCTGACCGATATGAGATTTTCGGATCCGATACAGATTCCGATTTTAGAGTGGAAATATTCACCGATAACCGATGCAGTGCATTCGGAAGGTATTCAGACCCCTTCACTTTTGCCACATTTTGTTACGTTACAGCCTTATTCTAAAATGAATTAAATTACTTTTTTTCCTGATCAATCTACACACAATACCTCATAATGACAAAGCGAAAAACTGGTTTTTATAAATTGTTGTAAATGTATAAACAATTTAAAACAGAAATACCTTATTTAGTCTTCAGACTCTTTGCTATGAGACTCGAAATTGAGCTCAGGTGCATCCTGTTTCCATTGATCATCCTTGAGATGTTTCTACAACTTGATTGGAGTCTACCTGTGGTAAATTCATTTGGAAAGGCACACACCTGTCTATTCAAGGTCCCATAGTTGACACTGCATTTCAGAGAAAAAAACAAGCCATAGGGTCGAAGGAAATATCCGTAAGAACACACTGGCCTCCATCATTCTTAAATGGAAGAAGTTTGGAACCGCCCGGCCAAACTGAGCAATCGGGGGAGAAGGGCCTTGGTCAGGGAGGTGACCAAGAACCCAATGGTCACTCTGACAGAGCTCTAGAGTTCCTCTGTGAAGATGGGAGAACCTTCCAGAAGGACAACCATCTCTGCAGCACTCCACCAATCAGGCCTTTATGGTAGAGTGGCCAGACGGAAGCCACTCCTCAGTAAAAGGCACATTTGCCAAAAGGCACCTAAAGACTCTCAGACCATGAGAAACAATACTCTCTGGTCTGATGAAACTAAGATTGAACTCTTTGGCCTGAATGCCAAGCATCACGTCTGGAGGAGACCTGCCACCATCCCTACAGTGAAGCATGGTGGTGGCAGCATCATGCTGTGGGGATGTTAACCAGTGGCAGGGACTGGGAGACTAGTCAGGATCGAGGGAAAGATGAACGGAGCAAAGTACAGAGAGATCCTTGATGAAAACCTGCTCCAGAGTGCTCAAGACCTCAGACCGGGGCAAAGGTTCACCTTCCAACAGGACAACGACCCTAAACACACAGCCAAGACAACGCAGGAGTGGCTTCGGGACAAGTCCTTGAGTGGCCCAGCCAGAGGTGCTTCAAACCTGTTTTTGCTTTGTCATTATGGGGTATTGTGTGTAGATTGATGAGGGGGAAAAAACGATTTAATCCATTTTAGAATAAGGCTGTAACGTAACAAAATGTGGAAAAAGTCAGGGGGTCTGAATACTTTCCGAATGCACTGTATCTGCCAATATTTTTATTATTATAGCTGGAATGGAAAAAAAAAAAAATCTGTATGGATTGTGCTTAAAACAGCCCTAGAAAGATACTCAGAGAGCTGATTTCTTAAATTTGAGGAAAGAACATTCATGTAAGCACCACATCACATTTAGATTTTTTAATGGAAAAACTGTGTGTTACTCTAGTGAAAGGAGGATAAACTGATTCCAGCAAAAATGTGCCTAGGCTCTGAAGACTGAGCTGCCTCATTCTAGCCAGTTGGACACATATTCAATGTATTAGTATTTAGCTATGTTTTCATCTATTGTTGGGCTGTAGCCACTCAATTCTGGTAGTTGTCACTTGAAAGGAAAAACATCAAGCACAAAATTAGCCACTGGCACAACGCTGCCTCTCGCTCAAAGCGATGCCGCAGTGAACGGTCCTTGCAATCCGGGATTCCTTGGGACGTCTCTACCCCATTGAAGTGTATATTTAAAATGGTTACGGTAAGGGTTAAGGTTTGGGTTTAGCGTAGGGACGTCCCAAGGATTCCGGATAGCACTAACCCTCAGTGAACAGCATCAAGTACTCTCTCTCACAGCTAGTTAAGGTGTCAGCTAGTTACGGTTTGTCCATTTTGAGACGCTGTAGCCAATATACACTTCCTCAAAATAGTCAGAAATGATCTATGATAACTCAAGAAATCTGTCATTAATTTCGACGTTTTTGCAGAGGAGATCTTAGTCCGCAATTTTACATTAACTAAGATGTTCGATGCAGTATTTCTCAATAAAAAAATGTGCATGAAAACGAGTCGTCTCTTGTTGAATGACAACAAATACTTTATTGAAGAATCCCTACAGTTGACCAATCACAGACCAAGGGGCGTAGACTTCGGCTCCCGAACTTCGGCTGGCCTCGTTAAAAAAATGTGTATGCCCGAACAGCTGAAAAAACTCGTACCAAAATCCAAAACGAACAAAAATTTCGTCATAATATATGCACAAACACTTCCGAACTGTTTGGGCTGGGAAGCATGTGGACAACTTTAGCTGGTTAGATGGGGGTGGCGGAACGTGAATTTGGACCCGTTCCTGACAAGTGACAACCCATACATCAAAACGTAGCTACGATGAGCTACTTTGTAACCTGCTATGTTTTTTTTGTGTCTCTGAAAACATTTGAATGACAGAGCTTGAGGAATACCCTTTGAAAAAGCAAATAACACACACAAGATTTTGTAGGCTTAACTAAAGCCAAAAAGGGCTGTAACATTGTTACCACAGAGTTGAACATTCTTAGCACGGCACTTGCTTTACATTTGGGCATAGTATCCATTGTTTGTCATGACACCACACACCCTACCATGACACTTCACATAACAGTATATGGCCAGTGCAATTTCTTTGTACTTTATTGAGCTGGCAAGCTCAGGACAAATATAATGAAATGCATAAATAAAGTCAAATTCTATGAAGAACAGCTTTTTTCCCAAGCATTTTTCCCGCATTTTATATCGGTCCTTTTCGGTGGATTAAATGCAGATTCAAATACATCCGTTAAAGGATAATATCGGTTAACCGATAAATCGGTCAGGCTCTACCAAAAAGCCCCTGCGGTCTTACCTTGGCCCCAAGTAAGAGCAGGTCAACTGAGGCTATGGCCCAGTGAGTCCCAGGAGCCAGGCTGTCAGGGTCGGCCCTCCCATTAGGCAAGATTAGACAGCCGCCTATGTCGGCACTTGAATTTGGGGCGGCATTTTGACAATTGGCTGCCGCCCTCCGGCGCCCCTGATCGGCTGCTACACCGCCAACGGCACCCCAGCCACCAGCTCATAGTGTTGCTGCAGTTCCCGCCCTCACCCCATTCCCTCTTCTCCCAAAGTTCACTCCCACTATCCTTGGTAGTTATGGTGATGTGTGTGTTTATATGGGATTATCCAATTGAGAATTAATAAAAATGAATCTGCCAATCAAATGATTGTTGTTTTTTTTATGTTTGTGTATGATGAAGACGATTAGTGATTAAGGCAGTAGCCTATCCTAGCCTGTTAATGTTAGCTAGCTACTACTAGTGGATATAATTTTAGCTAAAAGTAAGCTATAGAGATTTGAAGCAATTTGCTACCATGTCTAAGAGACAAAAACAACCAGGAAGCAAATATTTTAAAAAACGAATGAGAAAAGAGGCACAACCTCTAAACCAAAGAAATTTGCTGCTGAAATTGATCAGCGTGCAGCAATGTCCATCAGCCGGTGTGGAGAGTGACAAGCCTCAGAGGACAGGCCATTCATTCGCCGAGAACAACGAGCCCCCGTTCGCTGATTCTAGCAGCGAAGAGGGCAAACCGGGAGTCCGAGCCATGCACTTCCACTGATGATGACAGCTCTCTGGCTGGACAAGAACAGGTGGTTGCACCAGGCCTAGCCACACCTCCAAACAACGCTGGCGAAGACCCTACTATCTTGGAACCAGACCCAGATTCGTAGCTCCCCGTCCCCGATGACAGTGGTGGTGGTGCTGCTAAATCCAACTCCCAGAGAAAAAAAACCCTAAAAGATCCCGGTGAGTGGCCAAAATATATGAATGGATCTTTACGGGATATGTTAGTACAGGCTGGGCCACATCAGGATAAAGAGGGGCATTTCCCAAGAGATGAGGGGCAAAGAAAGTTTTCGGTGGCCCACTACAATAGGAGGATGGCGAACGGGGAGAGAGTGGAGAGAACATGGCTTGTCTCTTCCAAGCAAAATGATGCAGCCTTCTGTTTTTGCTGCAAACTTTTTTCACACGAGTGCAAATCTGCGCTGGTCAGGGATGGAACCAGGGACTGGAAGAATCTGTGCCACCTCCTCAGCTCGCATGAGAAGTCGCATGACCACCTAGATAGTTTCCAAAGGTGGAAGGAGCTGGAGATCAGGCTGGTGTCCAAGCAAACTATCGATGCCCAAGCCCAACGGGCTATTGACGGAGAGACTCTCCACTGGCAGCAGGTGCTGCAGAGGCTCATAGCCCTGATACGCGTAATGGCCACCTAGAACATTGCGTTACGTGGGACCACCGATAGGCTGAACGAGCCAAATAATGGGAACTTTCTGAAGTTAGTGGAAATGCTGGGTATCTTTGATGGAATCATGAAGGAGCATGTAAGGAGAATACAGTCCAAAGAAACATGTGCACTACCTCGGTATAATAATCCAGAACGAAATCATTGACATGCTGGCACAAGAGATCCAGCAGACAGTGTGCAGTGATCTAAAAGCAGCCAAATATTTTTATATAATTTCGGACTGCACACCAGACAAGAGCAAAACAGAGCAGATGACCATGGTGGTGCATTTTGTTTCAACCGAGGATGATGGGTCAGTGTGTACGAGAGAGCACTTCCTGGAGTTTAGTGAACTGCTTGACGCAACGGGGGCGGGCATGACCGAGTTGCTCATCTCAAAACTACAGAAACATGGCATCGCCATCATGGACATGAGAGGGCAGGGTTATGACAACAGGGCGAATATGCGGGGGAGGCACAGCGGAGTTCAAAAGAGAGTACAGGATATCAATCAGAGGCCCTTTTTTTGTGCATGCAGCACGCACTCGCTGAACCTGGTTCTCTCTGATGCAGAATCGTGTTGCTTGGAGGCGGCTGAGTTTTTTTAACACCATCCAAGAGATTTATACATTTCTATCCCGATCTACACACCTCTGGGACGTGTTGAAAGAGCAAGTAAAAGATGGACTCACAGTGAAACTCCTCAGCGCCACGAGATGGGAGAGCCGGGTGGAGACTGTGAAACCTGTGCGTTACCAACGCGGGGAGATTTATGATGCCCTGTTGTCGACCGCCACTGACACCAAGCTCATAGGCAGCTGTGGTGCTAAAACAAGGTTGGAGGCAAACAGCATCGCCACCAAGATGAACAACTTTGGCTTCATGTGCGCAGTGGTTGTTTGGTATGACATCTTGTTCGAAGTGAACATCACCAGTAAGAGTTTGCAGGTGGTGAGTTTTAAACTTTCACTAGCAGTGGCTCAACTGAACTCAAACAGGGTATTCCTCCAAGACTACCGATCCGATGCAGCTTTCGCTGGCGCTTAAGCAAGTGCAAAAGAGTTGGCAGAGGAGATGGGTATTGAGCCCTGTTTCCCAGTGCAGCCCACAGTCCGTCCCAGGAAGAAGAGGAGTCTGTTTGGCTACAAGGGAGAGGACGAGCCTAGTGACTGACCCTCAGCAGAAATTCAAAGTACATTTCTTTAATCAGATTCTTGATTCTGCTATTCAGTCCGTCAAACAAGCGGTTTACGCAGCTCGAAGAGCACAGCAGTATTTTCAGCATTCTTTAAAACATCCCCACCATCAAGGACATGCACACTACAGCACTTACCAGGGACTGCGCAACACTGGAGAGGGCCCTTACGTTAGGGGATTCCAGGGACATCGATGGTAAAGTTCTGTGTAAGGAGTCAAAGTCTTGAGCAGGAGACTGGACAGTGAGGCAAAACCACTCAACGCACTAGAGTACATATCCAGACACCAAATGGCCTCCTTGTATCCCAATGCCTTTGTTGCCCTGAGAGTTCTTCTCACACTCCTGGTGACATTCTCCAAGCTCAAACTCATCAAAAACTACCTGAGCTCTACTATGAGTCAAGAGAGACTCAATGGACTCGCCACCATATCAATTGAGCACAAGTTGTCTTACAAAATTAACCTCCAACAAGCAGTGCATGCTTTTGCTGCCAGGAAGGCCAAGCGAGTTAACTTGTCTTTGAATAAAAGGTAAGCGTTGATCATACACTCGCATTAATTTGTAAGATTACTAAATTATCTATCACCTGTTTACCTTCTATTTTTTAGATTTAAATAGACTACATCCTAATCTCGCTCTCTCTCGCTCTCTCCCCCCTCTCTCCCCCCCATTTTAAAGTGAAATTCCATTCTGCCTGGTAAGGGACCTTCTATATGTGCACGTGTGCACCAACATTTTTTATGGGCATAATCATAGAATTACATATATAATTGGAGCCTATTTCTTAATATTCCAAAAAATAAGTGGTAAGCCTACCTGTTTGACAGACACAATTATGCTTTACATAGATGTCGGTATAGCAAAATACTCCAATACTGTTTCGTGCACTGATTAAATACCTCCGTGCCTGGGGAGGGCTTGGTGTGTTTGGTTAAAACCAGGGTTCAAATTGAGTGAGGGTATCACATACCCTGTGCTAAAGAAAAGGGCAAAACGGATATCTATTGTTTGCTTTATATTTTGAAATAAATGCATAAAACGTATCCAAATTATATCAAGCGTTCTATAAGGATGCTTTACTCGGTGATGCCTTATGGTAGAAACAAGCTCTAAAATGCCCGCGAAAGACGTGACGCCGATGCATATGGGGATATATTGATTCCTCTCTATGACATTCTGAAGCTGAGCTGCAGCCTATAATATTAGAGGAGATAAAAAATGGACATTGCTATTCTATCCCTATTAATTGAGCTTTTCTCTGTCTGAAAAGAGAAGACGTTTGTTTAAACCCAGGCAGCTTTTAGAGAAGCACTTCTGTCGTTGGGTTATACAACGGACGAGTAGCCAGCAGTTGAAGCTCACATTTTTCTGCGTCGGTAGAGCCTCTGTCTGGGTGGAAAGGTACGTTTTGAAAGTGCCATGCTTAGATTCATAAGGATGTCTATGATGTAATTATTTTCAAACAGCGTTGCAAACAAGACACTCTGTGTGCCTTTCCAAAATCAGGTCCAATCAATTGAATTTACCACAGGTGGACTCCAATCAAGTTGTAGAAACATCTCAAGGATGATCAAAGGAAACAGGATGCACTTGAGCTCAATTTCGAGTCTCATAGCAAAGGGTCTGAATACTTATGTAAATAAGGTATTTCTGTTTTTGATTTTTAATACATTTGCAAAAATGTCTAAAAACCTGTTTTCTCTTTGCCATTTTGGGCTATTGTGTGCAGATTGCTAATGGAAACAAATCTATTTAATTCATTATAATAAGGCTGTAAAGTAACAAAATGTGGAAAAAGTCTGAATACTTTCTAAAGGCACTGTATGCTGATACAATGCTACATTGTTACAGTGTGTACCTTGTGCTTGCCTTTGACTATTTCCCATGAAATGTCCTTTCAGAACATACCCAGACACATATACAAAAGTATGTGGACACATCTTCAAATTAGTTGATTTGGCTATTTCAGCCACACCCATTGCTGACAGGTGTATAAAATCGAGCACACAGCCATGCAATCTCCATAGACAAACGTTGGCAGTAGAATGGCCTTACTGAAGAGCTCAGTGACATTCAATGTGGCACTGTCATAGGATGCCACCTTTCCAACAAGTCAGTTCATGACATTTCTGGAAACATCTAGGAACAACAATGGCTCAGCCGCAAAGTGGTAGGCCACACAAGCACACAGAACGGGACTGCAGAGTGCTGAAGCGCGTAGCATGTAAAAATTGTCTGTCCTCGGTTGCAACACTCACTACCGAGTTCCAAACTGCCTTTGGAAGCAACGTCAGCACACAAACTGTTCGTCGGGAGCTTCATGAAATGGGTTTCCATGGCCGAGCAGCCGCACACAAGCCTAAGATCACCATGCGCAATGCCAAGCATTGGCTGGAGTGGTGTAAAGCTTGCCACCATTGGACTCTGGCGCAGTGGAAACGCGTTCTCTGTAGTGATTAATCACGCTTCCCCATCTGGCAGTCCGACGGACCAATCTGGGTTTGGTGGATGCCAGGAGAACGCTACCTGCCAGAATGCATAGTGCCAACTGTAAAGTTTGGTGGAGGAGGAATAATTGTCTGGGGCTGGTTTTCATTGTTCGGGCTAGGCCCCTTAGTTCCAGTGAAGGGAAATCTTAACGCCACAGCATACAATTACATTCTAGACGTGTGCTTCCAACTTTGTGGCAACAGTTAGGGGAAGGCTCTTTCCTGTTTCAGCATGACAATGCCCCCGTGCACAAAGTGAGGTCCATACAGAAATGGTTTGTCGAGATCGGTGTGGAAGAACTTGACTGGCCTGCACAAAGCTCTGACCTCAACGCCATCAAACACTTCTGGGATGAATTGGAACGCCGACTGCGAGCCAGGCCTAATCGCCCAACATCAATGCCCGACCTCACTAATACTCTATTGTCTGAATGGAAGCAAGTCCCCGCAGCAACGTTCCTACATTTAGTGGAAAGCCTTCCCAGAAGAGTGGAGGCTGTTATAGCAGCGAAGGGGGGACCTACTCCATATTAACGCCCATGATTTTGGAATGAGATGTTCGACAAGCAGGTGTCCACATACTATTGGTCATGTAGTGTATGTTGCAGCATTAGACTAAAGGACTAAAAGCAGAGTAATAAGCCGGGCGTAATGAATTAAACTCACCCAGCTCTCCCGCAGCGTTGCGGCCACCCACGGCGTAGAGGTGTCCTTTGAGAGCGCTGAGGTGGAAGAAAGTACGTTTTTCGTTAAGGCACGCCACCTGCATCCACTTGTTGTAGCGCGGGTCGTACCGGAACACCGTGTCCACCGCCGTCTTGCCTTTGGTGTCGTAGTTGCTCTGGCCTCCCACCACGTAGAGGAAGTTGCCGATGACGGCGATGCCGTGCTGGTAGCGGGGGGCGTCCATGGGCGCCAGCGCCTTCCACTCGTGGGCCTTCTCGTCAAACAGACGCAGCTCCTTACTGACCACCAGCTGCTGGCGCAGGACGCCGCCCAGGGTGACCAGGTGGCCGCTGTCTGAGCGGATGGCCGTCCTCTCCGACTGCATGACCGGCTGCATGTAGGGCATCATCTGGTAGTTACTGGCCTCCAGGAGGAGGTTTACGCATGTGTTGTCTGTGCGCATAAAGTCTACAGTCTGCACGTAGTTGATGAGCTCCTGGGGGTTCATGAGGGGGAAGCGGATGTTCTTCATGAGCTTGGGGGCGTGGTCCATGCGTCCGTCCTCATAGCGGAGCCAGCGGCACGCGGCCTTGAACAGGTCCAGCTCGCTGCAGTGCTTCAGACTGTTACTGGACAGAACAAAGGCCAGCCGCTCAAAGGGCAGCTTGATAAACTCCCCCGTGCCCAGAAACGAGGGGAAGTTCTTGAGGATGAAGTTGTTGACGTATTTGTCTACCTCAGTGAGGTTGTATGCGTTAGCTATGCGCCCCACCTCCACACAGTTATCCAGGGACACCTGCAGCCAAGGAGAAAGGGGAAGCAGTGAGAAGCAATCACTCTTAATCACACACAAACTTTTGCTTAGACCCGTGGTTTATACCTGTGGTCTAAAATGGCTAGTAGCTAGCTTTTCTCAAAGGCAAACCTGGCACAATTAGCCTTGATGCTGAGGACGACGAGGTGAGCACATAATTATATCCAGGATCAGAATAACGAATCAACCTATCAGAGACCTTACACGGCAGAGTCACAATCCAATCACATTTGTTAAACAGGTCAACTCGGCCACCAGAGGGAGATTCTAAAACCTCAAACTTTAAGGTTTATTTTGTAAAAGTATGAAAAATGTATGCACTCACTAACTAATCTGGATAAGAGCGTCTGCTAAATGACTAAAATGTAAATGTAACCCATGCCTCGGTCTAAAGTGCAGTGTGCCAATCAATATATATTGCATGATGCTTCCTTGACTAGGCTACTGAAGTTACACAAAATTAAAAAGGCACCTTTTGCATATTTGACCAAATTCCCAATTTTTGCTTATCTATTTCACACACATTCATGTACTTTTACAGAAGAAAGTAGGAGGATTATATAACATGTACATTTGTATTCATACTAGGGCTGGGAAATTGCCAGGGACCTCACGAATCCCATTCAGGGTACGTTTTTTTACAAAGGAGAAAACACTCCACTGCAGGTCCTCAAGTGAAATAGGGCACGTCCAACTACGTCAACGATTTTAATTTGTTGATATGGAATCAGTTCCCGGATATAATTATGTGCTCAGCTGGTCATCCATCCTCAGTGTCATGGATTGTGCCAGGTTGGCCTATGAGAAAAGCTAGCCACTAGCCATTTTATACCAGGTATAATAAACCTCAGGTCTAAACAAAAGTTCACGAGTACGGCCCCAGTGCTTTTATCCCAGTGCAAGTCCAAATGTAGACATTAAAGTAAGCAGTAGAGTACAGTAGTCGGGGGCATCTTAAGCTGCTGCTGTGTATAACCCCCCTGGCTGATTCTGGGGGGCTGAGCAGGCTAGATGAGCAGGCTGTGTTAGGCTCCTTACCCCAGATATGAGAAAGACCTTGCAGAAGTCGAGCACGGGGAGGATCTGGAGGAAGCTGGCTGCCTCCAGTGTGTCCTGCAGGTTCTCCATGTTGAGAGACAGCTTGGCCGTGTAGATGAAGTCTATGATCTTCTTCAGGCCTATTCGGTTGACACCATGAAGCTTGATGCACATTAAATCCTGTTCCTTCATTCCACCTGCGTGATGAGGAGAGAGAGGAAAGAAAATACATATTATGTAAAGTAGGGATGTGCATCTTTCCCTTTCAAGACGATTTGATACGTATCTAGATACATAGGCTCCGATACGATACAGGAATGATACATTTTAGATTGAAATGATTAGGTGCGATTCGGTTGGATTAGAGAACGAATCGATGCGATATGATTCCCTAAGATTTGTTGCATAAACACATACATTTTCCATTCTAAATTTGAGCTCATGAGCTGGGCCTCTCTGAGCTGGATGTGTCTGAACTGACGTGTGTGTGTGTGTGTGTGTGTGTGTGTGTGTGTAAATGATGTATGTCTATGGTCTATACTATGTAGGCACCTGATCCGAGCCGTAAAGGAGACTAGACATCTACCATCTACCACTATTAGATTAAGGTGCCAACTATTCAGATGACTGTTGTGTCTCCGGTAGTTTACTTTTATTCCGGTAAAACACATTTTTCAACAGTGCCTTCAGAAGGTATTCACACCCCTTGACTTTTTCCAAATTGTGTTGTGTTACAACCTGAATTGTCACTGGCCTACACACTATACCCCATAATGTCAAAGTGGAATTACGTTTTTCGATTTTTTTAAACTAATGAATACTAAATGAAAGCTGAAATGTCTTGAGTCCGTAAGTATTCAAACCTGTTGTTATGGCATGCCTAAATAAGTTCAGGAGACAAAATGTGCTTAACAAGTCACATAAGTTGCATGGACTCACTCTGTACCCCACACATACAATTATCTCTGTAAGGTCCCTCAGTTGAGCAGTGAATTTCAAAAACAACCCTTGCAAAGAAGGGTACCTATTGGTAGATGGGTAAAAAAAAAACAAAAAAAAAAACAGACATTGAATATCCCTTTGAGCATGGTGAAGTTATTAATTACACTTTGGATGGTGTATCAACACACCTAGTCACTACAAAGATAGAGGCATCCTTCCTAACTCAGTTGCCGGAGAGGAAGGAAACCGCTCAGGGATTTCACCATGAGGCCAATGGTGACTTTAAAACAGTTACAGAGTTTAATGGCTTTCATAGGCGAAAACTGAGGATGGATCAACAATACAACCCAATTAACGAAGGAAGCCTGTACAGAATAAAAATATTCCAAAACACGCATCCTGTTTGCAACAAGGCACTAAAGTAATACTGCATAAAATGTGGCAAAGCAATTCACTTTTTGTCCTGAATACAAAGTGTTATGTTTGGGGCAAATCCAATACAACACATGACTGAGTACCAGTCTCCATATTTTATTGCATAGTGGTGGCTGCATCATGTTATGTGTATGCTTGTAATTGTTAAGGACTGGGGGAGTTTTTCAGGATAAAAAAGAAACGTAAAGGACCTAAGCACAGGCAAAATCCTAGAGGAAAAAGTGGTTCAGCCTGCTTTCCACCAGACACTGGGAGATGAATTCACCTTTCAGCAGGATAATAACCTAAAACACAAGGCCAAATCTACACTGGAGTTGCTTACCAAGAAGACAGTGAATGTTCCTGAGTGGCCGAGTCACCGTTTTGATATAAATCTGCTTGAAAATCTATGGTAAGACCTGAAAATTGTTGTCTAGCAATGATCAACAACCAATTTGACAGAGGTTGAAGAATTCTGAAAATAATAAAAATGGGCAAATGTTGCACAATCCAGGTGTGCAAAGCTCTTAAGAGACTTACCCAAAAAGATTCACAGCTATAATCGCTGCCAAAGATGCTTCTAGCATGTATTGAACTCAAGGGTGTGAATACTTATGTAAATGAGATATGTCTGTATTTCATTTTCAATACATTTGCAGACATTTCTAAAAACATGTTTTCACTGTCATTATGGGGTATTGTGTCAATTTAATTCATTTTGAATTCAGGCTGTAAAACAACAAAATATGGAATAAGTCAAGGGGTATGAATACTTTTTGAAGGCACTGTAGATAACAATAACCTAACATATTACATCAACTTATAATACCTAATATCAGGCAAGCCATTTTTGCATGCTGAAGGTGCCGAGCAGATGTGCAAGATCAGGAACAACGCGCCAAGCTGGGCACAGTGCGCAGTTTGACCAGGCTACTGATATTCCCTAGGGTTATTCGGCATGCAAAATTACTTGTGGATCAGTGACTTTCAACACAGTTACATACTTAGTAACTTAAAGGCACTAGTCAGATAAAAAGGTAATAGCGTTACATATGAGCTCTGCCTTTGACAGTAAAGGCTAACAGAACGAACAGACGCCATTCCACTGAGCTTTCACACACCTACCATTATGGCTGCATGTAAAGGAAATGTATTCACCAAAGCCTGGAGACTGTATAATTCACTCAGAGAGGGCTGTGGGTCGCAGTGAAAAGCCTTTGCTCAGCATCTGCAGCAGCATATTATTACCGGCTTAAACAGTGACTCACTTCCCTTTTAACACATCTGGGTCCACCAATTCGGTGCCTTTTGAGATGTGTAACTTGCTCAAAAAAACGTTTGATTTCACCTAATTGTAACAGTCTGTCATAAAGAGCACATTTGTGACTAAATACATTTTGGACATGTAGGACAATTCTAATAAGACCAACTACAATCGACACGCAACCAAGGCTCTCCAGCATATAATCTCTGATTACATCCACATTGATGCCTGGCGAGCACATAATCCTAAAGCTAAAGAGTACACTTTCTACTCAAACAGGCATATGTCATTCTCACAAATCGATTTCCTAATATTATCTACAACTATTTTCTTTAATCAAAATATAAATTTGACATGAGTTTGTCTGACCACCACGCTTACTACAAAATCCTACATTCTCTGATCAATTTGAAATGGAAATAAATGAATTCATAATGATCAATAAAAATATAAATCAAAAGTAACAGTCAGTATCTGGTGTGGCCACCAGCTGCATTAAGTACTGCAGTGCATCTCCTCCTCATGGACTCCACCAGATTTGCCAGTTCTTGCTGTGAGATGTTACCCCACTCTTCCACCAAGGCACCTGCAAGTTCCCGGACATTTCTGGCGGGAATGGCCCTAGCCCTCACCCTCCGATACAACACGTCCCAGACGAGCTCAATGGGATTGAGATGCGGGCTCTTCCCTGGCCATGGCAGAACACTGACATTCCTGTCTTGCAGAAAATCACGCACAGAACGAGCAGTATAGCTGGTGCCATTGTCATGCTGGAGGGTCATGTCAGGATGAGCCTGCAGGAATGGTACCACATGAGGGAGGATGATGTCTTCCCTGTAATGCACAGCGTTGAGATTGCTTGCAATGACAACAAGCTCAGTCTGATGATGCTGTGACACACCGCCCCAGACCATGACGGACCCTCCACCTCCAAATCGATCCCGCTCCAGAGTATAGGCCTTGGTGTAATGCTCATTCATTCGATGATAAACGCAAATCCGACCATCACCCCTGGTAAGACAAAACCGTGACTCGTCAGTGAAGAGCACTTTCCTGTCTGGTCCAGCGACGGTGGGTTTGTGCCCATAGGCGACGTTGTTGCCGGTGATGTCTGGTGAGGACCTGCCTTACAACAGGCCTAAAAGCCCTCAGTCCAGCCTCTCTCAGCTTATTGCGGACAGTCTGAGCACTTATGGAGGGATTGTGCGTTCCTGGTGTAACTCGGCAGTTGTTGTTGTCATCCTGTGCCTGTACCGCAGGTGTGATGTTCGGATGAACCGATCCTGTGTAGATGTTGTTACACGTGGTCTGCCACTGCGAGGACGATCAGCTGTACGACCTGTCTCCCTGTAGCGCTGTCTTAGGCGTCTCACAGTACGGACATTGCAATTTATTGCCCTGGCCACATATGCAGTCCTCATGCCTCCTTGCAGCATGCCTAAGGCACGTTCACGCAGATGAGCAGGGATCCTGGGCATCTTTATTTTGGTGTTTTTCAGAGTCAGTAGAAAGGCCTCTTTAGTGTCCTAAGTTTTCATAACTGTGACCGTAATAGCCTACCGTCTGTAAGCTGTTAGTGTCTTAACGACCATTCCACAGGTGCATGTTCATTAATTGTTTATGGTTCATTGAACAAGCATGGGAAACAGTGTTTAAACCCTTTACAATTAAGATCTGTGAAGTTATTTGGAATTTTAAGAATTATCTTTGAAAGACAGGGTCCTGAAAAAGGGACATTTCTTTTTTTGCTGAGTTTATTACTCTTTCCAAAGTCAAGACAGAACTTAAGTTATTGATAAGACAGAGAGCAGAATTTGCCATCCATCATGTTAGACTTAACCATTACTTCCATAGTAGTCGTCCCAGTTGTTTACTGGCCAACAAGATACGCAGTACTGATCAATTAGCTGACATAGCGACAATTGAATATGTAACAGGGGAATTACAATCAGAACCCAAATTAATCAAAGATTATCCCGCTTCTATGAAGAACTGTACACCTCTGATTGTACATCCACACCAAGCCAGACTAAGTCCTTTCCAAAATAAATAAGAAATCCTATTTTCTCAACAGAGGAAGCCACCTCGCTGGGAGCACAAATCTCTCTAAATGAACTCAAAAGGGCATTGGATAGCATGAATAAAGGCAAATCACCTGGTCTATTTAACATCTTGGAGTCAATTAGGTCCACTATTGCGCAAAAGAATTAACACAGCCATTCACAAAGGTTAATTTGGGAGAGATGTGAATACAGCACTAATTTCCCCTTTATAAAAAATAAGGTAAAGATGCCACACAGTGTTATCACTATCGCTCCCTATCTTGGATAAATACAGATATTAAACTGTTTTCAAAAATGTTGTCGTCCCGTCTCGAGACAGGTCCACACGGACCAAAGCGGGTTTGTTAAAAAACGTTTATTCTCTGATAACCTCCGTCCATTATTACATATCTTAAATATGGTGTCTCCTATTGCCCTGGAAAAGGGTGGTTTTTACTGATATATATCTTAAACAATGGAAAATACTCTTTGGTCCTATTATCGTTCACCCAATTCCTATTTGGCGCAAAATTGAAACACAATGTAACTAGGAATCAAAATGGCATGCCCAATATTTCACAATAATGCCTTGCGATCTGGAGGGCAGACTTTTGCATCGCCCCAAAGGTGGAATCTGTACCTTTGCCGATATCATGGACAGTAATGGTTTGAGAACATTCCAGGATTTGAAAGATACATAGGCATTACCAGGCAACTCTTTTTTTTCTATATTTACAACTTAGGTCAGCTATGGAGTCCCATTGGGGAACCCAACTACAGAACCATCCAATGATGGAATTTATAAATCAATTATCTGGGCTCCCGAAAGGACTGATCTCTATAATATATAAACAACTTTTGGAAAGCTCATATTCTGTGCTAGCTATAAAAAAAAGTATGATCCACAGACCTAATTGAATCTGAACAACCATTTAACTGGAACAGAACGAGGAATCCAAACCATCAACTTATACATTTTAAGTTTGTTCACAGACTGTATTTAACACCAAGGAAACACTTTACGATGAAATTGGCCCCAACTCCCAACTGTGTCCCCTAAATCAGGTAGGCACATTCCTTCATATGATGTGGGAGTGCCCTGCAGTTAAATGCTTCTGGGGCAAAGTTACAAATGCGTTGCATCTTATGTTACTTAACGATGATCACTCCTTGAACCTCTCAATCAATCAGAGATGACTACTGCTAGCAGGCAGCACTGCCGCAAAAAAGATGGCAATCACCTCACTCTTTTCCCTGCTAATTTGCCATGTATCGCGTTTACAGTTATTTTTGAAGTGGCTACCATTAATTTATATGGGCGAACTAGGGGGAACTGATGGTGCTAACACGTCAAGGAACATTCTGTTGTCGAGTGCATGCGATATGGTTCATTTAGAAATACATTGAAACTCGTGCTGAAATCGACAGTAACCTAAGCTAAAAATCACCAACATGACAATACCTGGATCTGGACAAAGTTCGGGATTTGTTTTTTGTGGACGCATGGTGCTGGATAAATTTCTTGCGGGTTTCTCAGGAGAGGGGGTGGTTGCGTGTGAGACATGTTTGGCGGGCGTGGAAGGCGATGGACGAGTAATGGGATAAAGCCTTACGTTAAAGTGGAAGAAAAACCCCTATAAATCACTTTTAATCCAATGGGTTATTTTTCCTAGTTATACAACAATCGATTTATTACTTTAAACTTATGTAGATCGATATATGCTTTCCAAGCCAATCGCTGAGCACAGATCGATTAGTTTGAGTGGACAAACGCCACGTGGTACTGTTTATATATTGGGCGCACAGGTACAGCTTAGTGGTTAAGAGCGTTGTGCCAGTAACCGAAAGGTCGCTGGTTCTAATCCCCGAGCTGACTAGGTGAAAAACCTGTCGCTGTGCCCTTGAGCAAGGCACTTAACCCTAATTGCTCCTGTAAATCGCTCTGGATAAGAGCGTCTGCTAAATGACTAAAATGTCAAATGTACAGTGAAATAAGTATGCCCCCAATGCGTCTGCTAAATTGAATATATTAATTGAAATGGGTATTGTACCAAATATCTGTTTAATAACCACTTACAGGTATTGAGGCTGTACTATTTTGGATTGTTAAGAGAGGACATATGAAACTGCCTAACTGTTGAAGGATAGTCTTCCTCTCACTGCATCTATCCAAGTAATGTATATTTGCGTCATCAGTGAGGCAGTTACTAAGCTACAACAAGATGAAATACCGAAAAACAGAAATACAGAAAATAAGAAACAAAAAGCGGAATATCGTTGCTTATCACTGAATTGATTTCCCAGGTATTGTAAAATAAAAGAAAGCACATTTCTAAACAACCTCAGGGCCACCTCAGTGATGAATGCAATAGTTGTGTTATCTTGTGAAAAGCAAACCTTATTATTTTTCAAAAAGCACAAGGCAAATCAAAACCTTAACCCCTGGGGAAAAGGACCATGTCTAATTCAAGGTAAGGTAGCTTGTCAGAATGTAAAGATGACAGGGGAAGTAAAAAGCAGCATCTCAAATCCTGGAGGATTCACGCTGTGCTTAAAGGAGCACTTTGGGTCTCTTTCATATCAGAGAGAGATTTTACGCAACAACCAGACAACACAATGCTATCAGCTGCAGAGCTGCAGAGCCCTAGAGTAGAGATTGATTGACGGACGCGTGACAAGCAGGCAAATCCTCTGATTACTCAGTCTGTTAATCAACATTAAAACACAGTATGCGGACGTCCCATCCCGTGCTGCTGTGGGTCAGTGAGAGGCGGTGAGAGAGATGGAGGCATAATGGCTTACCTGTGAACATGGCTTTGAAGTAGTCGCTGGAGGAGGCCATCATGGCGCGATGCACTGGGAAGGCTTCGTCTCCGTCCCCCGCCACCAGCGTGACATCACACAGTAATCCCTCTATCCTCAGCTGGTCAAATCCCTGGGAGGGAGGGGGAGAGAGAGAAAGAGGAGAGACCAGCCTGTTAGAGAGCTGCTCTGTGTCCTGTGTGGAGAGACCATCTGTCCTGAACCAGACCATGGCCTCATTGGTATAAGGCCTGCCCAGACTGGTACACGGAGACTGGATTAGTCTAACTCAATCACTACATGAAAAGACAAACAGAAAAACACAGCCACCCAAGTGTTCCCGTTTCTTGACAACCTGCCTGCAAATAATTTCAGCCAGTGCTGTGTCCCTAAAACTTTTTCAACACACAATAATACACTCTTCAACAGCAGGTTTAAAAACTATTCACCAGTTAAAAGGCTATTACACTGTTGAAGGGGACCTTAGAAGCACTCTGCCTAACAACACGTCAACACAACACACCTCCATCATACTGACAGGTTGTGGAGTACACACAGTGTGGACAGGTCACACATTGATGAGTCCAGTAGCTTTCTGCCAGCTCCTGCCTGGCGGCCCCTCTCTCTGTGACGACCTTCACGTGTGGACTGAGACTGGCATGGGCCAAGCAGAAAAGGCAGGGCAAGGAGCCGGACTCACTGGCCCACTGGTACTGATGCGTCATCAAACAGCTGGAGCCCAACACGCTGAGCCACTGTCTGTCTGCACTGCAGGAGTCACTACCATCGCTCCGTCGTCCCCTTCAAATTACAGCTAGCTAGCCTATTTAAATAATATAAAGGATTTAATCTCCATTTCAATTGTCATCACATTTTCTTTTTATCTCCTCATATGCAGAAGACATCTCGTTCTATGAGTGCGATGAAAAAAGTAGGCCATTTCAACTAGAGGGAACAGTCATTTCCATTATTTTAATGCAACTTCATAAAATATATCAGTTTGACAACTCTTTGTAGAGAACATAACAGTTTTCAATGATCTTAGAACATAATTCCCTTCCTCCGCAGTGAATCACTGATCATTCTCCTTATCAAATGCAGCGAATAGGTTTGAAAGACAAGTCTTATCTCTTAGACAGCTCGCACGCACGACCCTGATTTATTCCATTGTTTATGTGCTTTGCCCTCCACGCGCATTGCATCCTGACTTTAGATGTGCCAGTGATTAGTGGGAGACCACATAGTGGATAGTGATAGTGAAGGCTAAACCCTGATGTGCTTATAAAAAGTTTGACATTAATTGTACGAATTCCATAATAGTTTATAGATCAAAGGAAGAAATGTGTGCAGTGTTTGAAGGTTACAAGCGTGAAGGAGAAACAAAGTGTGATTAAGAGCTGCACAAAATAGCCTAGACGAGATTGTTTGAGATAGATGAGTATGATTGGTGCTGCACATCGTTGAAGATCTGCACAGGAACAACTTTTTGTTAACGGCAATGTGTTTTAGAATAGAATTTTGAACAGAAAACCTGATTGAAACAAACTAAGGGCCATTTGTGTGGTTTTTTGTTGTGTTCAGATATTTTTTGAGTTGGGTAAAGGCCCTTAGTCATTCCTTTGTCTGGCAAATTTTTTTTTTTTAAGATAAGGGTCAAAAGTATTGGCACTGCATATCTTCATTACTCTAGCACCCTCCCATTGCGAGGATAACGACACAGCCTTTTTATAAAATGTTTTATGAGATTGGAGAACATGTTGGGAGGGATCTTAGACCATTCCTCCATACAGAATCTTTCCAGATCCGTGATATCCTTTGTCTGCTCTTATGGACTGCCCTCTTCAATTCAAACCACAGGTTTTCAATGGGGTTCAAGTCCGGAGACTGAGATGGCCATTGCAATCGTTTTATTTTTGTCAATTAACCATTTCTTTGTGGATTTGTATGTGCACTGGAAGATCCACTTGCGGCCAAGTGTCAGCCTCCTGGTAAACTTTGCAGCTGCATTGTGATTTCATGTGGAATTGTATGGATTTGTCTTAGCATTTTAATGGAAAACTGATTTTAAAAAATGGCAGTGTAAACAATAAGACATTTTCCCATAAAATCTCATTTTAACCAAAAACCTGGTTGCCTCTGCCAGGAGGCCGCAAGTGGATCTTCCAGCAAGACAATAACCCCAAGCACACATCAAAATCCACAAAGAAAGGGTTAATTGACCCAGAAAAATTTACATTTTGCAATGGCCATCTCAGTCTCCGGACTTGAAACCCATTGAAAACTTGTGGTTTGAATTGAAGAGGGCAGTCCATAAGAGCAGATTCATTATATCAAGGATCTAGAAAGATTCTGTATGGAGGAATGGTCTAAGATCCCTCCCAAAGTGTTCTCCAATCTCATAAAACATTTTAGAAAAGGTGCTAATAATTTTGACCCCTCTCTTTTTGAAATCTTGTTTAATTACTTGTTAAACAAAATCTCTTTCACTGAGCAATTGTAATAGTATAAAATAATAATATATATAATTTACAACAACAACATTAGCATTCAATATAGCTCAGTATTTTAATTACTTTATACAGTCTTTTTTGCTCATCCTTATTAAGGGTGCCAATATTTATGGACCTGCCTGTATATCTATCATTTCAATCAATCACAGGACTTCTGAAGGAACATGAAAATCATCCTGGCATATTTCATTATGGCTTTTATGAGGTTGATCAATCTGTACATCCTCCTCAGCAGCACCATCTCTCTGTCTCTCTCCTATATCCCTCCACTACTACTCACCTGAAGGACTACTGAGCTGTGCGTGTTGCTCGTAAAGAAACGAGTGTTTCCGGTTTTTGAAGCCTGTAGGTGGGCAGAGATGCCCATGTCACCACACCCCAGCGACACTTTCATGTGAGGGTCGTCGTCCTCCACGAGGGATCTTTAGAGAAGGCAGAGGGAGGGAAAAAGAGAAAGAGAAGAGGGAGAGGGACGTTTAGCTCACAATCATGCAGTACAAGCACGGATTTACATTAAAATCAACTCATTGATTCACTAGCCTACATGATGAGAGAATCTTGAGAATTTCTGATGCTACATGCACAGCACAGAGGCTGAGGAAAGGGGTTTTAGGAAAATGTAAATAAATACAAAGCACAACAAGGGGAGAGTTTAGCTAAGACATTTGCACAGCACAACAAGGGGAGAGTTTAGCTAAGACATTTGCACAGCACAACAAGGGGAGAGCTTAGCTAAGATATTTGCACAGCACAACAAGGGGAGAGCTAAGACATTTGCACAGCACAACAAGGGGAGAGCTTAGCTAAGATATTTGCACAGCACAACAAGGGGAGAGCTAAGACATTTGCACAGCACAACAAGGGGAGAGTTTAGCTAAGACATTTGCGTTATCCGAATCAGGCACATAGAACATGATTTCCCAGCATCTTATAATGTCTACATGAACACCAAACAATACACAAGTACGCTCACACACACGTACACCTGAATTGTGCTTATATACAGGGAAGTAAGGACAGGCAGTCAAACTACAAGGCAAAGGTAGCTACTAGCTAAGAGTAAACATCCCCCGCCTCTCCCCTCCCTGCGTGTCACCTGCTACTCTTCCAAAATGTCACTCTGTGTCTCAAGACACTATTCCCATCACCTGACAATTACAATGCTCACACTTCAAATAACAGTAAATATGCAACCTCAACCTTCTGTGCCTCAGAAACTGCAATCACTGATTCTGATTGCAGATATGGAACGCCGTTTGAGTCTTTGCGTGTCAAAAAAGATACTATTTGACGCGTTAAATAAGCTTTTAATTTGACACGTCAAATAAGCTTTTAATTTGACACGTCAAATAATACAATTCTATTATAGAATGTTGTGTGTGCTGAATTTCGACGTGCAAGCCAAGCGCCACCACTACAATCAGTAGCACTATCAAAGCGGTACAAACAAAAGTCTGCAAACAAAGCACACCGGCCACCAACGATGTGTTTACAATACCGCGTTGGTAATAAGGCAATATTTGTTCGACCGAATGGGAAAACGTCTGTGTGAGCATTTGAAATAAGATCAGGATCAAACGAGCAGGATAAAAAAAAAAAAAGAGGCAAATATCTTTGATACTGATGTTATTAGCAACTTCTGGGGTAGCTAGCTAGCTCTAGTTTGGTAACGTTACCTAGCTAGCACCAATGCGACCAGTAGAAACTGCAGTCATTTTCAATAGTTTTAGCAATGATTTAGGAAGTGAGTAAGTATTAGCTAGGTAGCCAGGTACTTAACCATGTTGCCCAAAGCTAACGTTATAAGCAGCCAGCTAGCTTAATCTGGCTAGTAAAGCTTGACCGGACCGGGTTATGTGTTGTGAAGCTAGCCATAATAAGGATTAGCCACAATAGTGGACTTTGCGGTTCGCCTTCAAAGTAAGAGTCCCTCTTTCAAAGTGATGCAGAAGGTTACAATTGGTGGAATCATGCCATATTTAGACCAAATAATGTTAAACAAGGTTGGAATGTGGAGCAATGAAATGGGTTATCAGTCTACTCGGTGACACCCACAGAACACAACTGTGAAGAGTTTACGCAAATATTAGCGTCGTAGCTCTTATCGTGGGACTGTGACTGTGAAATCACCTCCCCAGTCAGCCTATTGTGCATATTGACATTCATATTGCACTGTACAGCTTTACCTAAGGATTGCGTATCAATTAAATGGGGTGTCAGTCTACTCAGTACCCAAGAGCTTTTTTCCCAACATCCCCCTCAGAGTTATCAGACTCCAAAACATCCAGGTTGTATTGTTTTTCCTCAGGAATAGTGACTGGTGCAATAAATGTGGCTCAATTCAGTGGTTTCAGAGTCCCGCAATAAGAGCTACGACGCAAATGTTATTTTGGTGTCACTGAGTAGACTGATACCCCATGTCATTGATCCACAATCCATAGGTACGGCTGTACATGGGGCGGCAGGTAGCTTAGTGGTTAAGAGCATTGTGCCAGTAACCGAAAGGTCGCTGGTTCTAATCCCCGAACCGACTAGGTGAAAAATCTGTCGATGTGCCCTTGAGCAAGGCACTTAACCCTAATTGCTCCTGTAAGTCGCTCTGGATAAGAGTGTCTGCTAAATGACTAAAATGTACAGTGAAATAAGTATGCCCCCAATGCAATTCTAAAGTCTTAATACATCCAGTGTGACTTCAACAGATTATTAACAAATTATTGTATTTTGCTGAATTCATATAAGAACATTCCAACCTCGTTTAGCACGATCTATTCTATTATGGCATGATTCCACTATTTGTATTCATTTGCATCACTTTCATTTAGATACTTTTATTTTGAAGGCAAATTCCACTATTGTGGCTAATCCTTACTGTGGCTAGCTTCACATAGGTGGGTCCGACCACCATTAATCAAATAAGAACCGTCTTATAAATTAGGGGTATTTTAGATGATGACACCTAACTAGAAAGTTAGCTAGCTAACTATAGCTACTGAAACAGATGTCGTTTTGCTATGTTTTTGGGGAAGAACATTGTTTGCATACATCATCTAGCCAGCTTTTATATGACCAGCACTGTCCAGAGCTTGGGGAAGTGTCTGCACTCGTGCGGCAGCGGCAGGTGCGCGAGACAAAACTTTTACCAGCATCATAGAATACGTATCCGTGAATCGTTGTGACATATGAAATACGAGTGATAGTGTAATCAATGTGTAATAACTACGTAAAAAATTAATGAATGTGTTAAATTATTATGTGACGTGCAGTTATCTTCAAGTCTTGATTGGTCAACAAGCTTATTTGACGTGTCAAATAGTGTTATTTGACGCGTCAAATAGTGTTATTTGACTTGTATCTTGTTTGACACGCAAAGACCCAAACGCCGTTCCATATTCCATAGGCAGAAGACCTTGCCATGCTCTCATTGGGATTGTGACAGAATGACACGACTTGCTTTGGTTGGTGCCCCTCTCAGCCCAATCATAGCGGTGTTCTCACCTCCTCCTCTGCCACATTCGGCTCTCCACGCCGAACCTGATGAAGTAATACTGGTGCTCAATAATTTTTTTAATTGTACCTTTATTTAACTAGGCAAGTCAGTTAAGAACAAATTCTTATTTACCATGACGGCCTACACCGGCCAAACCCGGACGACGCTGGGCCAATTGTGCGCCGCCCTATGGGACTCCCAATCACGGCCGGTTGTGATACAGCCTGGAATCAAACCAGGTGGTCTGTAGTGACGCCTCAAGCACTGAGATGCAGTGCCTTAGACCTATGGCAGGGGTTCCCAAACTTTTTTACTTTGTGACATACCAACTGAGGTGTCTTGAGTCGTGACACACAATAAGGTTTGAGTGGTGAAAAAACATACACAGACCAAAGAATAAGTAAAAAATATAATCTTGGCAGCAGAGAAAACATTTTGCAGTTTTAAAGCAAATTTCCTGCAATTCTATAAATTGCAGGAATGTGGGGGGCCTCATTGTTTGGCTTTTGTTTTGTTTTTTTTGTTCTCAAAGAGCTATAGCTAGGCTATTATAAAACTATAAATAGGTCCAGTTTCTTTTCTACATACTTTCTATTTGGTTTAGTCTTAAGTTTACACCGAAAGCATTTTTTCCCTCCCAAAAATGTGTGTGTACCAGTCAAAAGTACCAGTCAAAAGTTTGGACACACCCACTAATTCCAGGGTTTTTCTTTATTTTGACTACAATCTACAATGTAGAATAGTAGTGAAAACATCAAAACTATGAAATAACACATATGGAATCATGTAGTAACCAAAAAAGTGTTAAACAAATCAAAGTATATTTGAGATTTGAGATTCTTCAAAGAAGCCACCCTTTGCCTTGATGACAGCTTTGCACACTTGGCATTCTCTCAACCAACTTCATGAGGAATGAGTAGGTTTGTCCAAACTTTTGACTGGTACTGTATATATATATACACACACACACACACACACACACACACACACACACACACACACACACACACACACACACACACACACACACACAGTGCATTCGGAAAGTATTCAGACCCCTTGACTTTTTCAACATTTTGTTATGTTACAGCCTTATTCTAAAATAGATTAAATAAACAATTGTCCTCATCAATCTACACACAATACCCCATAATGGCAAAGAGAAAACGGGTTTAGACATTTTTGCAAATGTATTAAAAATCAAAAACAGAAATACCTCATTTACATAAGTATTCAGACCCTTTGCTATGAGACTCGAAATTGAGCTCAGGTGCACCCTGTTTCCATTGATCATCCTTGAGATGTTTCTACAACTTGATTGGAGTCCACCTGTGGTAAATTCATTTGATTGGACATGATTTGGAAAGGCACACACCGGTCTATATAAGGTCCCACAGTTGACAGTGCATGTCAGAGCAAAAACCAAGCCATGCGGTCGAAGGAATTGTCCGTAGAGCTCCGAGACAGGATTGTGTCGAGGCACAGATCTGGGGAAGGGTACCAAAAAATGTCTGCAGCATTGAAGGTCCCCAAGAACACAGTGGCCTCCATCATTCTTAAATGGAAGAAGTTTGGAACCACCAAGACTCTTCCTAGAGCTGGCCACCTGGCCAAACTGAGCAATCGGGAAAGAACGGCCTTGTTCAGGGAGGTGACCAATAACCCGATGGTCACTCTGACAGAGCTCCAGAGTTCCTCTGTGGAGATGGGAGAACCTTCCAGAAGGACAACCATCTCTGCGGCACTCCACCAATCAGGCCTTTATGGTAGAGTGGCCTGACAGAAGCCACTCCTCAGTAAAAGGCACATGAGGGCCCGCTTCAAGTTTGCCAAAAGGCACCTAAAAGACTCTCAGACCATAAGAACAATATTCTCTGATCTGATGAAACCAAGATTGAACTCTTTGG